AGCCTTTTTAGCACTTTGCACCTTTCCCAAAGCATTCCTAAGCACTCTTCTAAACTCCTCAAACATTCAGCAGTTAAAAATAGCCCAGTAAATGAAGATGAATGTTGTTTTCAGCCAGGCTAAGTTCCTCTGCTTCTTAGCCTAGAGCAAGCTGCAGGCTGCTGCCTGCCTCAGTTTCCCTTGTGGACAAAGGAGTTCTCCAGGATACACTAATGGAGAGCTTTTTGTAAGAACAAAGCGCTGTAATTGCTGTAGGTTTTATTACTATACTGGTCTGTGTGTCTTAAAACCAGGATGATATTCACAACTTAAATATGGCTCTGTGTCTATTCTTGAAGAGACAATGATGGCTCCAGAGTACAGCTCAGACCACTGAAGTTAGGCTTTTAATTTTGGATTTACTTTGATCAGGGTTAGTCCTCTGGAGATTTCAGTTTTTTTCCCTTGTATAGAGGAAACTTAGCAGGAAACTTATAGAGTAAATGTAGCAAATTTTAAATCCCATCCCTGAGGCTGGAATTCATCTTGTGGAGGTGAGCACTGTAAGAGTGAGGTGCCTGGGCTAAGGTGGTGCCTAAGCTTTTCCTGTGTGCTGGGGGAAGGAGGGGAGATGGTGCTCTTGATGCTCCAGCTGTAATTTCCAGGCTGAGCTCATCTGACTCTGATGGTTTGGGTTAAAAGAGACCTTAAGGTGCATCTCATTCCATCCCCTGGCCGTGGCAGGGACACCTTCATCAGCCCAGGGTGCTCCAAGCCCTGTCCAACCTGGCTTTGCACACTTCCAGGGATCCAGGGATATTCACAGCTTCTCTGGGCACCCTGTACCAGGGCCTGCCCACCCTCCAGCCAGCAATTCCTTCCTTCCCTGCCCTCTGGCGGTGGAAGCCATTGCCTGTGTACTTCCATTCCCTCCATGCCTTGTCCCCCAGTCCTCTGCAGCTCTCCTGGAGCCCCTTTAGGCCCTGGCAGGGGCTCTGAGCTCTCCTGGAGTCCAAACACCCACAGCTCTCAGCTGTCTCCACAAACTTCAAAGGACTTAATTCCCCACTCAGGTTCTGCCAGCTAATATCTTGTGTTTCCTTTGCAATGATAAACAGCCGTGCAGTGCAAGGACAGTGCTTCTTATAGAATGGCTGCTTTTAACCTACAGCTGAAATTTATGCTTCAGTTCCTCTTTTTGCGTGTGCTGCTATTATAATGAAGTATGGGATAATAGGAGTGTGGATCTTACAGCATGGGTTAGACTGCTGAGTGTTGAGATGTGGCTGTAAGAAAAGCAAGGGAGTAGTTAGCAGATGAGAATTGATTTAATTTTCTGTGTTGCAAGTTAAAATGAGAATTGGTATGTGTAAACCTAGATTTTTGTGCATGTGAACTTCTGATTCAGTTGTTCAGAGTGGAATTAGTTGTGATGTGCTGTGTAAATTGAGGGAGAGTTGGACACTTGGAAATGCTGTCCCTGTGATGACCTTTGCCTCTGAATTCTTTGGGGGAAGAGAAAAAGAAGCAGGCTTTCCCTCCCCCCTTATAGCATTAAATGTCAACGGCTGTATTTTGCTGCTAGTACTTATTAACTTTCAGCCTTGCCTTTTTCTAAAGCCATTTATTGCTTTAGAAATGAATTAATGCTTGTCACCAGGGAAATGTACTTCTTTCAGCTACCTTGGGTTCTGAAAAGATGTAATTTTTCTAAAGTTGATAGTTTAAATTATTGACCAGGGAATCTCCTAACTGTTCTACATTAAGTCTTGGTTCTGGCGTGCTTTGTCTTGATGTGTTTTTCAATCTTTTGAAATCCTGTTAGGGTCAGTAATTACATGTAGCTGTCTCTATTATAAAGAAAAGATTATGAATTACACCTATGGTTGTATTTAATCCTTTTTAGCTTTTTAACCTGAAATCATTTCTTCACTTTATTTCCCAGCTGAAGCCAATTGTCCTTATTTCTTGGTACCATATACTCACTTTGCATCACATCACTGGTGATCATGTACTTGGCTAGGGCAGTATTATTTATTTCCAAATTTAACTAGTCCTGTCCCTTCCGTGCAGCACTGAAAAGGAAACAGCTTTTGGGAACAGAGGTTTTTTATAAGATTTTTTTTATATGCCTCACTGCAACTTCACCTAGTTGTTGTTGTTGCCTGTGACTTCTTAATTGTTTGGTTTTGTGGTTTTTGTTGACTTTTTTTTAACACACGTGAGTGTTTATGCTTACTTATTTTTTGTAAAATATGGGAATCTGAGGATTTGTTGCAGTTTGGTGGCCATTATCTTGGCTTTGTTCATCATTGGTGATAAGTGCAGATTAACCTGGTGTTGGGGGCCTTTCCAAATTTCCAGATCTGATCCTGAAAGACAAGGGTTGAGAAATGCAAAAATGGATCTCTGCTGTGATTGGCTTTGTAAATAGGCAGCTTGTTTTGGGGTTCTTTTTGCAGATTTTTTAAATTGGTGGCTATTACACTGACAAATATAATTACAGTGTGTAAATTATATTGAAAATATTTTTTGTCTGTTTGATGTATACTGAATTTAAGCTAAGTTATAAGGGTGTGCTCTTTGGAAGTGTGGAAGATACAAGAGTGGAGCTACAGATAACAAGTTTATACTTGTATTTCCTACTGATGTAAGACTTTCACACAAGTTATTTCTATGGGTAGGTGATGAGAATATCACTCTGCATGTATATACATTTATTATACATTTTTGCATGATTATACATGTAGGGAGTGGTACAATTTTGACTTGAGACTATTTGGTGACTTTTGTTTCAAATACAAAATTTTATTGTTCATGTAGCCATGTCTATCTAAGAATCAAATTTTGCTTCTGCTTTTGGAGGTCTGAATCAGAAACGAGAGAAACAAAAGGCCTGACGGAACAGTCCCAAGCTCCTGAAGTCTTAGATAACCTGTTGAAAAAATGGTCAATAGTCAATATTGGTACTTGACCCTCGTATCTTCTGCACTCGACTGTTTATTTTTATAGCTCACATTATATATGTTCACGCTGAACTCTGATGATAAGACTGAAAGAAAACATGCTTCCCGTGATTCAGTCCAGCCCTAACTTCTGCATGTAATTTAATCATCAGCTGTCACAAATAATTAACTGAACGTCATCCAGCTTAATTCGGAACTCGGTATTCCATTAATTTGTAATTGCCTTTTTAAAAAGAACAAGATTGCCTTCCAGTTAATTATCAGGAATTCTGTTCCAGTCATAATCATCAGCGTTTCATGTTGCGAAACCAGTTTGGTCTTTAATACATTGGCATTTAACTACTCATTTATTTTTGTTGGGTCTGTTTTAAGTTTGTAATGTAACATTGTTTCATGGAATTGTTGTTTTGGAGGTAGGTCTGAGCTGAAATATTTTGTGAATTCTTCATACATTGTTGCAAAACTGATCTTTAGTACGACTTAAGCAAAATATCCTCTCTGATGAACTGTGTTGCTAATCACAAAGTAGAGGTTTCTGAAAATAGTCTGTTGAATTTTATTTCAGGCACCAAGTTACAAAAAAACACCCCCTCCAAAAAGCCCCCTAACCAAAATCCACTCTAAAAACTTCAGAACAGCTTTTCAGAGAAGTAAATTTGAAACTGCTAGTTCATCATGTTCTTTTCTGCCTTCAACAGACACTTAAAACTCTGAGAAGAAACCAGTTTTTCCTAAGCTTTTCACTTTGTTCTTTATCACTTTAAAATATTTCATTAGTAATTTTTTAACTCTGAAAGTCCTGTCTTCCTCAACACATTCGTACTTTTATGATTATTTTATATTATCCCATACAAGTAGTACTCTCCGTATGTCACACCCATAACAAAAGGCCCTCAGAATGCTCTGCTGCAGAACTTCAAAACCTCCTTGGAGTTAAAGAATGCAAGATGCTGAGCTTTGGCCCAGCCTGTGTTTGTGTCTTATGCTCATTTGTGTGGATGAAGCCTTGGTCCAAAGAAAGTTTTGATCCTCTCGTTTGGGCAGGGGAGCTCCAACCACTTTCATAGCTGCTGAATCAGTGAGCTGCAGATGGGGCAAGGCATTTGAGCTAAAATACTCACATCCTCTCAGAATTGCATTATTTATCCATTCTCTCTGCTTCCACATCAGTCTTTGTCTTGAATTTGCCTGTTTTTTTCCTGGGCCTTTCTGTTTGTAGCATTGCTTTCCAGTTATAAGTTATTTTCATTAATCACAAAGAATTTAGTTGTCCTAACAAATTAATTCAAAAATAGTTTTTTGTTATTCCTCAAGGACAGATTTCAGAATCATGTAAGCAGTTTTATCTCCCTCTCTTCTCCTTCATTATGGTGGCCAAAAATTCATATGACAATCATGTTGAATGAAAGCATATTTATCACTGAGCACAATATAATTTTGTTTCTTGTTATTCCTGATCTTAAACAAACCCCAACAAACCACCTCCAAAAATCATTGCAATTTTGAAAAATCCCCTGCTCTTGACAGGTAAATGTTATGAAAGGAAAGTTGCCTAATGTTAACTTTATTGTCATTGGATCAGTTTTATGAAAAAGTTTGTTTTATTCAATCAACCCTATATATAATGTAAGCTGTTGCTTGACTTCTGTAAAATTCTCTAGATAAATATCTGTCTGCCCAATTTTCATGTCCTGTAATTTTTTTTTTTAATTTTAAACTGGAGGGTTTATCCTTTAAAGATTGTAAATTGTAACATTGTCAGATATGGAGATGTTTATGTGTTAAATGTAAAAGACAGTACACAAATAACTGATGCTCTGATAAACGTGTGTTTCTGACACTTGTGTTTTCTGTGTATGCAAAGGTCAAAATGTCTCTGTAATCTCAGGCTATGTTCATCAACTGAAGTTTAACAGTTCATACAATTTACCAGTATGTAACTTTAAGAGCTTCATGTAGGATGTTGCATTAATCCTTAAATTATTTGTACTTTTGAGGTATCCTTCAGTCTGTGCTGGTTTCTAACCCATATTGCTTTTCTCCCCTGCAGATGGACCCCTGTTGTGGCTCACTATGATATATCAGACACAAACTCAGACCCAGAAGTGGTAAATGTGGACAATCTGTTGGCAGCTGCAGTTGTTCAAGAGCACAATAATTCTTTAGGAAATCAAGACTCAGGGTCTGCCTGGAGAACCAGAGGGCTGCTGAATGAAATGAGTGCTGATACAGGTTTGTTTACATTCTCTGACATTTGTGCCGGCCTTGAAGTTGGTGGGTCTCCCTTTCTTGCTTTCAGTATTTTTATAGTTTATACAGCTGTAAAAGCTCCCTATGTGGATTTTGTGAGAGAACAGGACAGATGCTTATTAAAAAGGTCTGACATTTACTCCAAAATACAAGTGATAAAAATTGACAAATATTTCTGCAATTATATTTTTGACAATAATTTCCTTAGCTACTTTTCTTCTTCTTTTCCTTCTAATTACTGCAGGGAACTTAGATCTGGGTTTTGATGTGGGTTCTTTTTAAGTGAAAGTGACCTAATCTTGTTACTGAATGATTGATTATGACAACCCACCAGCTAGTCAACTAGTCCTAACCTCATTTTCAGTACTGGGATTGCCTGTGTATGTATTTTTTTCCTGTGTGTGTGTTTGTTTGTTTGTTTGTTTGTTTGTGGGGGGTTGTTGTTTTCTTTTTTAGTTTTTGTTTGTTTGTTTTTAATTTTTTTCTTTTTTATTTTGTCTCTTTATATCTCTAAAATATAACCGTTAATTCTTCCCATATTCCATCTGCATTTCCAATACCCCTTAGAAAATTGGACAGTGTTTTGGATGTCATCAGGGATCATTTTCTATCAGCTTCATCCCACAATCCCATGTTTTATGCCAATGTTTTACTTCCTTTCCACTCCTTTTCTTAACTCCCATGTTAGGATTTTCAGGCTGCATTAGACATATAGGTCTTGCCTGGTGGAGCACAGCAGGTTTGTGTTTCGTGATGTTTCCCTAAGGTCTCCTGCCACAGGGCACCCACATAGGGAGTGTTGTGGTGGCTCTGAGATGCTTTTCATTGTCTCTAAGGCTTCAAGAAACACAATTAGGTGCTGCTTTGTAAAGAGATGCTCCATTACTATGTAAAGAGATGCTCCATTACAAGTCCACTATTTGAGTATGAGAATCTCTGTGCATTATTTTCACTGTGGTCCATGGCTGGATGTTGTTCCAGCCTTTTTGAAGCTTGCCTTTGTTTTCCAAGCTCACTGGTATTTTTTGCAGGATAGCAGCTGACTGATAGCTATTTAACCCCTAGCAATCCCAGTCCTTTATTAAGGGATTTATTAAACAATTAGAACAGCTGAAATCACCTGTATTACATAGTAGTAGGGGATAAGTACACCAAATGAATGTAAGGAAATAAAAAGTAATGTTTCTTACCAAGCTTTCTTCCACTTTTCTTCCACTTAAAATGCTGCAGTGCAGGTAGGATTTTTTTTTCCTTCCTCCATGTATATCCAAGAGGACTTGCAGGTAAAATTAAACTGGAAACATCAAGAGATTTCTTCATCTCTGGGAATGTTCATATCGATTTGGTTCTGGTGCTATAGGCAAGTCAGCAGCTGAAAAGACTTTAAAAGGTATATGCATGTTTGCTCATGCATATACCTTACCCTGCAGCCTCAGTACACATCTGACTGCACCTTGGCCAGTGCTGGTCTTTTCCTACCAGGTCTGGGGTTGCACATTGGGAAAGCAGAATTTTCAAATCTTGTATCTGGTTCACAAGTGTAATCTTGAGCCAGCATTTTGTTTGGCAGACTTAAAAGAATGTGTTCCCATGGGAAAAGAGCAACATAAGCAGCTCTATCAAAGTGAAAGATCTTACTACACTATAATATCTTAATATGCATCTTTGTGCATGGGCAAATATTTGGGGCTCTTTTGCAAACCCTGGTGGTGTAGGGCAAGCAAAACATCACTCTGGGTGTCATCCTAATGTTTGTGCAAATAAATTAACAGCGTGGGCATGTTATTAGGCATGAAATTTGTATGGCCAGAGGCTGTAAATCTATCTGTCTGTGCTATAATCCTGATTAATACTCAGCTACTCTTGTAGTATTTATTCTGTTAATCATGGTTTTGCTACTGCTAATTGTCTTTTTGTTGTCTGAACTTAAAGCTATGGTGGAATATATGGAAGCTCTTTTAGGACTCCAATTTATACCTGTAGGGATACTTTCTGGGACTATTTAGGAGCTGGTCTGCTTTGCTCCTTTGCCAGACATTACCCTGTCAAGATAATGAAGGGTGGTTAGGCAGTGAAATGATACATATTATATTAACAGGTATTTTATGATATAATATAGACATCTCATTCCACCCCCTGCCATGGGCAGGGACACCTTCCACTATCACAGGTTGCTCCAAGCTCCGTCCAGCCTGGCTTTGGACAATTCTAGGGATCCAGGGGCAGCCACAGCTTCTCTGGGAAACCTGTGCCAGGGCCTCCCCTCCCTCCTGGGGAGGAATTTCTCCCCTATGTACAATCCAACCCTGCCCTCTGGCACTGTGAAGCCCCTGGGAAGTGAATTAAAGCCTCTGAGAACTTTCATGTTTCACGCTCTGCCCAGCCATTTAAAGAAATACTCATGACCTATTTTTGGGCTTTCTGGCAGGCAGTGATGTTTGCCAACATTACAGTTCATCTCAACTGCAATAGTAGGAAGAGACAGTCTAGGCTATTAATTTTTTTTATGTTCAGCTGACCAATATTTTTTTGTCTCGTGAGGTGGAAATTCCTCCTTCAGGTACCTGACAGCACATGTGTTTCCTTCCCTTGCTAACCCTGCTCCAATCATCAAGGGTCTTGGCTTTCCAAAAACTGAACATACAACATGGTCTCTGTTCTTACACAAGAGCTGCAGCAGGACTGGGGACAAGGCAGGGAGGGACAGGACACAGGGAATGGCTTCCACTGCCAGAGGGCAGGGACAGATGGGATATTGGGAAGGAATTGCTGGCTGGGAGGGTGGGCAGGCCCTGGCACAGGGTATCCAGAGCAGCTGTGGCTCACCCTGGATCCCTGGGAGTGCCCAAGGCCAGGTTTGACAGGGCTTGGAGCACCCTGGGATAGTGGATGATGTCCCTGCCCATGGCAGGGGGTGGCACTGGATGGGCTTTAAGGCCCCTTTAAGCTCAAACCATTCTATGATTCTATTTGTTTGCATGATTCCCAAGTGCTTAAAGCAGTCATTAGAAAGTTTCTCTGGCACTTGTTTCAAGTTTAATTTAATCTGTTTCCTTTTAATGTCCCTGGGGTTATAATCAGTTCTGCTTGTTCACATACCTTTGAAATCCTGTGGATCATTATTGCTTCTTCTCCTCCTCTCATCTTTGAAGAGGTGTCCACTCAAACTAGATACACATAAAATATTCACCTACTGTCAAATTTCCTGCTCGACAAATGACTCTTCCCCTGTGTAGTGCAGCTGACCAAGTGGTTTTTCAGAAGTAGGTAGTAAGTATCAGCTACTTCAAGGCTGCCTAGCATCCCTCAGGCTAATGATAAAGATAGACAGTGGAATTAATAATTTGCTCTTTTATCTTGGGGAAAAAAAAAAGACTAGAAGTTATGTATTTTAATTAACTGATTTTTCAATTAATCTATTTTCTGTGAGAGAAATAATAATTTTGGCTGCTTTGTGTTTCTCATGTAAGTATTTTCCTGTATGACTCAACACATTCACTAATTGGGGTGAAGAACCTTCTTAGCAGCACTTGGCAGAAAAGGCAAAAATGTGCCACACTTGCTGTGAGTATTTAGAGAGGGCTTGTGGTTTGACTGACTGAAAAACTGGATGTCATTGAGGAACTGTAATGAAAAAACAGCCCTGCTGCATATGGGATGTAAAAAACCACTTTTTCTTTTCAAGTATTTGTAATAATGTTATAACAGATGTGTGAAGCAGCACTGCCAGAAACTGATGGGTTTGCTGTATTTTTTCACTAACCAGTTTCCTCAAGTTTTTTTATTTAAAGGAATTGAATTAATTTTCTTTGGTGTGTGGGATGTTCTGTCCAGCCTATAGGCTCTTTTTTTTTTTTTTTTTTCCCCATAGTATCATTGTGTTTGCTTAGATTGTTTTGTTTCTTAATGTCAAGGAGGTTTAGGGACAATCTGACTCTTATCATAGAGTCTGTCTGTCTGTCACAACATTTCAGCTGGAAATTCTGGTTGTTCTTGGTGCAACAGTCAGGCTTTGTTCACATTTGTGTGACAGCACCATCACCAGAGGTGCTGACACTGGCTAAATCCAGTGGTTTTCCTGTATCAGGTAATGAACTGTGAGTTGAAAAACTTGGTCTAATGAGATTTTCTAATCTTGGTGTTGTTTAGGTTTCTTTGTTAGGTTGAGAAACTAATTTTCCAGCTGATTTCTGAGTAATGTAAGCTGTTAAACACTGCCTGTATTCCCATTTTCCCCATCTCTTAGGTCATTTGGATCCAGGCTTCCTTGCAGGTGACAAAACCTCTTGTGGCAATGCTCAGGCCAATGAAGAAATTAACATTGCCTCTTCTGATAGCGAAGTAGAGATTGTTGGAGTTCAGGAACATGCCAGGTATGAATTATTTTTTCTTGCTCTAGTATTAATTTCATTTTATCAGAATGTCTGTACCAAAATCAATAAGGAAAGAACTGCTGGCCTTCAGTTCTGTAGTTACCCATCATGAGTGATGCCCAAAAGGCAGCAAATGTTGCACTTTTGGTTTGTTTTTTGGTTTTTTTTGTTTGTTTTGTTTTTGTTTTTGTTTTTGTTTTGTTTTGTTTTGTTTTGTTTTGCTGGTCATGGTGTCAGAATGTGTTTTTCTTTAGAAAGTGACCAACTTGATAGTTATTCAGATGAAAGATGTGTTTCAATATCAAACATTACCTGGCTGAAGATGTGTAGTATAAAAATACCAAATACTGAGATACTAAGGATAAATACATCAGCAGATTTTAAAGGACTACGTGAATACACAAATAATTAAGTGAAAATCTTTATGTGGGTTCTTATTTCCTTTCAAAATATTAAGTTTTTTTATCAGCTTCCACTTCATTTAATTAGTTAGTAGGGGTAAAAATACTATCATTTTTTCAGTGACTAATGTCATCAGATATCCCCTTTAGGTTAAAAATCAGATCATTTTGAATCTTGGGTTTATTTCAAGATTCAAGAGAGGTCAAAGTAGTTAAGAGTAAGGATGCCAGAGGTTTCTCTCTGAAACCTGTTCAGCTGTTCTTCTTGGTAGGAATTTTTTTATGTTATTCTTCATTTTTAGTCTGTGGTCTTTCCTTGGCTTTAAATATTATGAAGCAGTTAAACAAAATAGACATTTTTTAATACTGTGGAGTGTGAATTTGGTGGAATAAAACTGAGTTAAAATAGTACATAGACAAGCTCCTTCCAAAGTGTTCTGCTGCCTAGTGGGTGCTTGGAGGCAGAAGAGGGGTGTGAGGAAGATGGAAGAGAGTTTCTTGTCCCTTCACTGCATGTTTTTTGAGAAAGAAAGTGTTCAGGACACAATTTCCCAGGCAGGAAAGTTCATGGATAATGCGGGCACAGCCCAGTGCTGTTGGATGTGGAAAAAAAGGAAATTTTCGGGTCCAGAAAGGGGATTTAGTATTCTCTTTTAGAACAGTGGGAAAGTCCTTGCATGGTCAACTCTTTGGGAAGATGGTAATTCCTTAGGAAGCAGCTCTCCTGGTTGTTTATGCAGCAGAGCCCAGGGCTTGGAGGGTCTTTGTGCTGATGGTGAGGGGTGTGGATTCACCTTCCAGCACTGGCTGCTGTAAATCTGTGCAGCACTGCACACAGGACCCTTGTGCTTCTGTCCCCTCTTTGAAAGCTTTCCATGCTGCTGCCTTGATAATACTCACCCTCTATAGGAATTTAAACATGAGCTAAATGCAGAGTTGCTGTTTAAAATGAGTTTTAGTAGATATGGACTGAAATAATTTCAGGAAATCAGACTAAAAGCACTCTTCTGTGCTTTCCTTGGTTCCTGTGCCAGTAACCTGCAGACAAGTGTTTACTGCCTCCCTTGAATACTCACGCACACATTTCAGTTGTTTGAATCCTATTTAGAGTTTTATTTCTCTTGCAGGTCTAGGCTTGCAGTTATGAAGTATTGATGGGCTTCTGGCAGGGCTGTTTGGACAAGGGCTGGGTTTTTGATCAGTATTTTCTGCATGCTTACTTAGTGTGGTGTTTGGATCCTGGTTTTTATCATGCTCCCTGTTCTGTGTCATCGTTGGGCTGGTGTGAGTCGTGACACCCTGGAGTTTGTCCATTGTTTGCAGTTCTTCAGATGCTGAATGAATTGGTGCTGTTTCTCATCACTGGGCTATTCCTTGGCATTTACTTAGAGCATCAAGTAATTTTTCAGTTTGTTTAATTTTTCACCAGTAGAATTTTGTAAATCATGCATGCATATAAATCAGTCTTCCTCTAGTTTTTCGTAGGAGGTTTTTTGGGTTTTTTTATTGTCTTTACTTGGTATCTTCACTTAGCTGTAGATTGGAAGAATGTTCTGGGCACATGTTTGACTGAATGTTTTGCTGTTGGCTGCTTGTGTCGGTAGTTTGAGGATAAACACTTTTATTTTTCAGAGATATCTTTTCTGTGAGATAATTTAGGGCTTGGTTTTCATAATCTTCAGGAAGAAAAGTTAGTCTTAGCTTTGCCTAAACACTGAGGACTGTTCTCAGAATGGTGCACTACAGTCCCTGAGACCAAACACCTTGTTTAATTTGCTCTGCCTACAAGATATTCTTGCCAGTTAAGCTTAAAAATACTTGTCCTTAAAATAAAGCTTTAAAAGAAAAAAATCCTATACATTTGTTAGACTTACAGGGTCTTATTGCTAATTCTTTGTAGATATATACTTTAAGTATGTGTTTTTATGAAAGAAGAAGTAATAAAAGAGTCATTCTGAACATTACATCTAAGCCTAAGGAGCGTATCTGAGAAGGCAATGAGACATTTATATTCAGGGAAGTTACAGCTCAGAGAATGAAATTTTTCATTCTGTTTCATGAAACTCCAACCAGAACCAAGAGAGCTGAGCATAACTGAAGTAGTTTTGGAGAAAATAAATAGCACAGACTTAAATTGGAATAAATAAAATGTAAATGCCAGGGATATTTGATCAGTGCAGGAAATTTGAGTTCCTGAAATATATGTGCCTTCACAAAGAAATGGGAAAAGGTTACCCCAGCAGCCAGAGCACCTCGTGTTTATCCATGCAGCCAGGAGGAGCCACAGCCACTCCTAGTGCTTACAAGAGCAAAACAATTTTTGGAGCACTAGGTATCAATTTTTATTAGTGCCTATGTAGGATTTACAGCTGGAAATGGAGTGACCATCCCAAAGCCTCTAGTAAATTCGTGTCATCACTTCTTCATACAAAAAATTATTCTACCTTTCTTTTTGCAATTTTTTTCCTAATTGCTCTTAACCTGTGCTTCATTTGTCATGTATCTACTGCAGATATAATAGGTAAAAATGCTGTGTGAAAGGTACCTGGGTATAGCTCTTCAGCAGGGCACTGGAGCCTTATCTTCAAATACACCTTCTAGTCTCATTGGCTGTCTCAGAGCTTAAATGTTTTGCTGAAGTGGGGCTGAACTGTTGTCAGTGAGCGTTTCCCAGCGTGTTTGTAATTTTCAGTATAAAAGACCAAAACAAAAAAAATTCAGATGTAATGGCTGTAATAAAATAATTAGCCAGATCTCTTTTGCAATTATTGTAATGAAAGTATCGTTACCTCCTTGTTTTAATATTACTTTGATTTAATATTGAAGTATAGCTTTCCATTTTCTTTTAGGCAGCCTCACTTCAGATTTTTCTCTTTTTAAAAATTCCAATGGGTAAAGCTCCATCAGGAAACTGCATGGTACTACACATGGTGGGGCAGGCTTCCTCAAGATCCTTGGGATCCGTGCACATAGTTTTCAAGGAGGATCACGTGACACTCACTGGCATTCCTTTAAAATAATTTAATCCCCAAATTTAAATTTAGCTTAGTGTGTTTGAGATGCCATGGACTCTACAAGTGGAGAATCCAATTTGGAGAGGGAAGTGCTAACCAGAAAACAATAAAACACTGGAGGAGGGGATGTCATGGCTGAGCTAAGCAGTATCCCTGACGCTGTGTGTGTGTGTCCCTCTCCTCGCTGCAGGTGTGTGCATCCTAGGGGAGGGGTGATCCAGAGCGTGTCCTCCTGGAAGCGCGGCTCGCCGTTTGGGAGCGCCCAGCCCGCGCAGCCGTGGACAGCAGTGGCTCCCCAGCAGAACTGGTCCTCACCCCCAGAAGTGGTGGACCTCACTCTGGACGAGGACACCAGGCGCAAATACCTCCTGTAAGGCCATGTCGCTGTGCTCTGCCCCCTCCCCTCCCGTCCTCCCTGGCACAGAAGTTCAGTGGTTAAAACATCACCTCCAGAGGCCTGTCCTTGGCACCAAGAAACCCAAACCCGTGGCGTTTCTCCATGTCCACAGGAATGTAGTCTGATTTCAGTATCACTTCAAATGGTTTTGCCTTCTCTAAGGAGGATTCCTGCCCACAATTAACAGCACCAAATTTAAAACACATCTGCAGTTACTAATGTGTGCATGTATATCTAACAACATAACTGCGTGCAAACTTATGTACTCCCACCCTCCCCACCTCCCAACTCCAGGAGTTTTTTACTTTATCAGTATCTTGAGTTTGTTAGTAGAAGTTAGTGTGTTGCTGTGTGAGCCTCAGTGGTTTTGAGAAATGCTGTGTCCTCACCGATTTCAGTGGAACTGGGAGGTATTCAACACTTCCAAAATTTGAGCCAGGAGTATTTTTACCCTAGTTGATTTGGTTATGCCACCAGTAGGAGGGATTGTCTTTAATGCAAATGGCTCATAGCAAATGCACTGAACAACTTTAATTAAAACATTTTTATTTTCAATGTAATTTATAGTTTATACTCTTCAGTGCTGAGTCTTCTGTCCACTTGACTACTGTGTTTCACTGGTGAATTCCCACAGCTTTAAATGTCTAAAATAGTAATAGTAGTGACTTAGGAACAGCTGAACATTGCAAAAGCACAGGAAAAGGCCAAGATTCAGGAAACACTTTCTATCAGAGTATTTACCCAAATCAGTGGAACGACTCAGTTCAGCAGGCTGCAGTTTCTGTGGTGTGTATGGAAATTCCAGCCCCTTGTCTGTCATTTTGAGCCTTTCCCAAGGCAAAAAAACCAAAGATTAGACTTTAACAAGATGATATTATTCACTTTAAATGTCTACTTTGCAATTGAAACATTCCTTCATATTCCAGATGTTTCTAGTGGGATATTTGTACAGCTCTGCCATTAGATTTTTACTATTTAAGCCTGAACAGGGGTGGTCAGGACATGGGAAGTTCTGCTTTCATTTCATGTTGGCTGGTTTTCAAAATTTATTTGGCTTCCCTTAATTTTATTTGTGGGCAAAATAAAAAAATTAAAATAGAGTTACCTGTGTTGTCACATAAGGGAAAAACGGCCCAGCAGGGGTCTGTCATTAGTAACAAACATCTGTTTCTTCCATAAGCAAAACAGTTGATGATGCACTTTACACAACAGCTAGGTAAGGATTGATATGCCCATTTCCAGCTTTCTAGAACATTGAACATAAGTGTCATGCATGGCCAGAAAAATATCTGTGGTTTTAGTGACCAATTCCTTTCTGTGGGAGGGAGGTAGGGGAGCATGGATGGATCCTGTTGGCCCCACAGCAGGGAAAGGCCCTGTGCTGCTCTGCCCAGCCTTTCTTCTCGTGTTTCCATTAGCTGTAGGCTCACACACCTGCTGTAAAGGTAACTTTGGAACAGCCACCTCCTGTGGCTGCTTCTTCCCGTTTCACAGAGTTTCTTGAGGATTGGTTATGAAGAAAGCTGTAGGGACCCCCATTTGCAGTCCTTCCGTGAAAAAATGCCAACTATCTCTCCCTGTTTTTCAGTTGGTATACGATGTGACTTCCACGTGTACATAAAAAAACCTGCCTCCTAACCAAACTTCCTCCAATTGTGCACTGTGTTTGTTTAAACAGCTCATGTATGGTAGTCTGATGCAGGTTTTCTTTTATTTAAAACACTATGTATTTTATCTTAACAAATTTCAAGGCTAGTGATCTGAAAAAAGCAAGAAAGCAAGCACTGGATATAGGTAGGAAATGGTTTGGTTTTGTTTCCTTTTTTTTTTGGTTTGTTTTTGTTTTTTCTTCTTTTTTTTTTTTTTTTTTTTTAATTCTGTTTTTTAAAAAGAGCAAAAATGTGCCTGGGTGATTTTTGCTCTTCTCAGCAGGACAGAGAAAAGTTAGCCATTGTATGGCTGTGAACCAATGCACTTGGGGCCTGGTCCAGAACCCACTGGGGTCAGTCTGGGGCTGTCTATTGACCTCAGTGTGCATTGGCTCGAGCCCTTCAGGGTTTAGCAGTTTTCCTGAATTGCTGGAGTGTGAACTTGGAATCTTCTATAGTGAAGACAAATCATTGCTCAGAATATAAATGTTTAAAATGTGCGGCTCTAGTTAAAAATAAAATTTGATTCTTCTTGACACTCAGTATTTAGTTCTCATTTTCCATCTAGTATTTAATGGTCTTTGGAGAGAAATAATAATAAAACAGAGTGTTATATATATATATAAATATATATATTTTTGGTGCAAGATGAGACCTTCTGTTTTTTTGAAACAAGTCTGTAGCATAAAGGTTAAACTATTTTAAGACAAAATAAAATATAGTGTATTATTTAAGCAATATCAATTTGTTGGGTTTTTTTTCCACTTCCATCAAATATGCTGCTGTTTGTCACATCTACAAATTAAATCCATAAATTCTGGATTACAGTTGCTGAAATTCAGCACTGCTTCTTGCTGTAACACTTTTAATTTTGCACATGCATAATGTTGAAGTGATTTCCTGACTGCAAAATCTTCCTTTTATCTTGGACCAGGGCAGGACCAACACTTCTGTACCCTTGGTGCAACGGGATGTGCGGGTACCAGTGACAAGGGGCTGCTGCCCATCACAGGATCCCAAGACAGTTTGGTTTGGGTTTGGAAGGGACTTTAAAGATGGTCTCATTCCACTCCCCTGCCACAGGCAGGACACCTTCCATTGTCCCAGATTGCTCCAAGACCCATCCAGCCTGGCCTTGCACACTTCCAGGGATCCAGGGACATTCACAGCTTCTCTGGGCACCCTGTGCCAGGGCCTGCCCACCCTCCCAGCCAGCAATTCCTTCCCAATATCCCATCTGTCCCTGCCCTCTGGCAGTGGAAGCCATTCCCTGTGTCCTGTCCCTCCCTGCCTTGTCCCCAGTCCCTCTGCAGCTCTTCTGGAGCCCCTTCAGGCCCTGGCAGGGGCTCTGAGCTCTCCCTGGAGCCTTCTCTTGTGCAGGTGAACAGCCCCAGCTCTGCCAGGCTGGCTCCAGAGCAGAGGGGCTCCAGCCCTGGCAGCCGTTCCGTGGCCTCCTCTGGACTGGCTCCAGCAGCTCCCTGCCCTCCCTGTTTTGGGGCTCATTGTGCTCTGAAGAATCCCCTTCAGGGATGCAATTTCAGCACAGCCTCCACCTTCCCACACACCTGAGTCCTTCAGGTGTCTGAGCAACCTTCCCACCATTATTTTTCTGACTACATCCCCTTGTCGAATCCTCCCAGACATCTTCTGCTGGTCAGTGGGACTGCCTGACTCAGTGGCTGATGCTACAGGACAAGTCCTCTCTGGCCAGGGAGGTGGTGCCAGGGTGAGCTCTGTTCAGAGAACCACAAAATTGGTTTGGGGGAATTTGGAGACACAAGTAAAGAAGAGAATGGTAAAGTACAACTGCACTGTGCTGAACGTGGGGTTTGCCAGCCCACCTCACAGGCAAAATGGAAATGGAAATAGGAATAATAACAATAATAATAATAATAATAATAATAATAATAATAACAATAATAACAATAATAACAATAATAACAATAATAATAATGTGTTTTATATGTATTTATCATATGAGAAAGCTCCTAGTGGAAATCAGGAAGGCCACTTATACATGTATTTTAAGTACCAATATGGATAATGAAGGTAAAGTGAGTTGGTTTGCAGCCTTACTGAGTCCTTGGCATTTGTGGAGCCTGAAAATAAAAATTCTGGGCCTAGTGGTCATTGGAGTGTCCTAGGTTGACTGTATGATGCCTTTATCCCCAGTCATCTGCCCTGTTAATGTTGAATAATAAGTTTTACACCATTAAGACTTGTTCCAGGAGTGAAGGGGTGGGGAGGAAGAAGCACAGAGATTGTTTTCAGAAACTGCACTCCCTCCTCCACATTCCTGCTGCTGGACTGTGTTGTCTGCGGATGGACAGACAGGGAGACAGAGCTCTCCGTTGCTTTCCTAGTTAGTTTTAGCTAGCTGAGGCGAAGAAGTTCCCTGGACTGTGGTTTTTTCCCTTTCTCTGGACCTGCTCTGGATGAACCCCAGAAGAGCAGCAGCAGCAGCACCCGTGGCCCAGCGGGCCGGGCCTGGGCCGTGGCATTTCCATTGCCGGAGGGGCTGAGCAGAGACTGAGAGAGCCGAGCTGCAGCCCGGGGGGTTTCTGAGTTTGTCCCTCTCTTGGAGTGGCAAGAAGTTTTATTGTTTAATATTGTTTAGATTTTCTTGTCTAATAAACAGTTTTTCCCACGTTTTCTCCAAGGAGGTATCTTTCCCGAACCAGTTGGGGGGAGGGGCCTTCTAGAGGAGCCCCTCTGGGGGTTCTCTCCCAAATTTGCCCTGAACCAGGACAACCAGTCTCAGATTTTATTTTGTGTCTATCAGCAGCCGAGGGAGAACAGAGCCATGGAGTTTGGTGCAGATGTGGGAAGAGGACAGATAAAATATCTGCTGAATCTTTTCTTCTCTATCACCAAGAGATACCCAGAATCTGTAGGCTTCAGGGTACATTGAATGGAAAGCTTAAAATTCCTCCTGTGGCCCTTTGCACTTCCTTATGTAGGAGCCACTTGACTTTGTGGGAATTGTTATTTCCGGGGCAACACAAAGACTGATGAAAACTACCCAAAAACAGGTTAGATTTTGTACTGTTTTTCCCAGTGAATTAGTTGCAATGCAGGTTAGTTTTGTGGCTGAAAGTTTGCCTGCCTTGAAATGAGGACTGAAAGGGTGCTAAGTGGATTACTTCCCCAGTTCCCTGGAGAATCTGTAAATGGTGCACTTTGCTGAAGGTATTGCCTCCCTTGGCTGAAATACTACCAGTTTTGCCTCTCCTTTTCGGGGCTGTCATCTCCGAATGTCAGCTGTTGTAGCTTTCTCTCTAGAGCACCCCAGGGATGCAGTTTCCCTTCTGTCTGCACAGGGAAGGAGCAGAATGCCTGCAAAATGCAAACTTGGGATGGACAAACCCTGCATTTACTGACATCTTTGGTGCAAATAAGGTGAAATTCTCTTGTTACTGATAAGGCCTAAAGGGTGGACAAGGATTCAACCCATGCCCCCCCCTTCAGTCTATGTCTTGAGTTTTTGAAAAGCAAATTCAATCCTGAGAGTCCTGATGACTGCTGATTCACAAATGCCCCTTGGAAGTTTTCTCATGGATCTTGTTAGTCATCTGGATTTGCAATTTAGTTTAAAATTAGAATTGAGTGCCAGCCACCGGGAAGACAACATCTTTCAGACAGTCTCAGGGCAAAGTTGGAGTGGACAGGGGGAAAGCTGTCTGGAAGTTTAATTTCAGATAATTTTTTACACTTAACTTGCTGCATCAGCAGCTTCGGGTGAATCCAGGGCAACCACATCAGAGCTGGGAAAACAAAACAAGAGTCCTCTGTCAAATTAATTTTCCATTACTGTAGGTGCCGTGAATTGAACACAGCTCCTGGAGCCTGGCTGGTGCCTCTGATGAAATGCTATCTGCAGCTGAGCAGTGCATTTGCTTTGTCCCCAGCTAGCCCGTGATCAGTGACACCCAAACCCTTCCCATTTTGTTTCTTCCAGATCTTTGTGTGTCTGCTTCAAACTTGGAATTGCTGAATGCCAGTGAACCCCAATGTCAGGCCAGTCCCAGAATCACAGAATCATTTGGGTTAGAAGGGAACTTAAAGACCATCTAATTCCAACTCCCTGCCACAGGAAGGGACACCTTCCACTGTCCCAAATTGCTCCAAGTCCCATCCAGTCTGGCCTTGGACACTTCTAGGGATCCAGGGACAACCACAGCTGCTCTGGGCAGCCTGTGTCAGGGCCTCAGCACCCTCAGAGAGAATAATTCCTCCCCAGTATCTCATCCAACCCTGCCTTCTGTCCATTTAAAGTAATTCCCTGTGTCCTGTCCCTCCCTGCCTTGTCCCCAGTCCCTCTGCAGCTCTCCTGGGGCCCTTTAGGCCCTGGCAGGGGCTCTGAGCTCTCCATGGAGCCTTCTCTTCTCTAGGTAACACACCAAGACTAGAATACAATACCACAGTGAGCAAATTCTAATAAAAAGAGGGATTATTTAAAAAACAACCTCACAGCATATCCCAGACAAGGCCTAGCAAGTTGAAAATGCCATTTAGCTCAACCCCCCCATACACAACAAAAGGAGAATAAGCCCCTGGTGCCCACCTAGGGGATTTCCACATCTCCCAAGCATTTTCTGTGGTTGGGATGCTGTGTAAACAAAGTCTCAGTCAAAAAAACCCATCCCACTTGCAGTTGATGAGTCCTTGACTCCTTGGACAATCTCTCCATCTGCTTGTCAAAAGGAAAAATTAATACAATAATTAAAGCAGTCCCACCTGGGCATGGCACAATATAAGGAGTGAGCTCCTTATAAGAAGGGGTTGAGCTTCCTGACAGTCAGAAAAGTCCTATTTTAATGCTTCATTTTCCCAGTAAACAGCAGGATTGCATACTACAGCGAAGTTTTTAGAGGAGTGGTACAGCAGTCCCTTCGATGGCTAGTGTAAGGTCTTTCCCTGGACCAGCATTCGCAGCTTGTCCAGGGGTATAGAATGCCTTTAAAATTATCCAAAATGCTCCAAAATTAGCTTTTCACCTGCATCCTCTCCTTCCCTGTGCCCCAGAGAGAAATCCCTTTAATTCCTGGAGATCGAGGCTCGGCTCAAGCTGCTCCCAGCCCCACAGAAAGGGTGGGGAGGGGTGGGTGGATGGAGGTGAGGGTTCTTGGCAGCACTCTTTTTGCAGGGGGGGCAATAACAATGATTTTTACTGCAGTTTGGGCACTGATATTATCTCTCAGGAAGCCCTGGCTGGAAGCAGCGCCTGGGAAGGCACTAGATGGCACCAGAACTAGAGGATATGGGATCTGGCTGCTGTCTCACCCTCCTCTGCATCCACGAGAAGGGGGAAAGTGCCATCAAAAACAAGCAAAAGAACAATTAAAAAAAAAGATTATTTTCCTAGCCCTGCTGGACCCAGCTGTCCATGCAGCCAGCATCCATCCCAAGGCAGGGAAAAGGGCCCCAGGAAGAGCAAAAGAAATCAAATCATCAAATGGAATACTGAAATTAAATTATCCAGCTGTGATTTTGAAGTAATTAACCACTAATGAGTCGTTTCTCCAGATATTAAGCCCAGAATCTGGGAATGTGGACAGGGGTTGCTGACCTTGCCTTATTTTTGGTTTTTGCAAACCAAGGACCTGGTCTCATAAATAAAATAGCACAAGGTCCTTGATTAGTGGCAGAATTTGTGGGATTTTGCAGCAAAGCACGTTTCCAGCTTTCCTTTCTTCACAGTTCCTGCAGTGATCATGGCTGCATCCCAAAGTAGCTGC